AGTGAGAGAGAGAGAGAGAGTGAGTGAATGAGTGACGATTCATTTTGAAACGGTTTGCTCGTTCCAGTAATGCCGCACACACGGTCGACACAGTATTCGATCGATGGTCACGTATAAACAGCTAATAATCAAACGAATCGTGTCATAAACAATCGTTTTTTGGCGGGGGATACACACGTTTGTTGGTCGCAGAAAGTATAAATGAGTGTCGATTCATATACATATTGTGGTGGAGGGGGAAGGGGGGGATGAAGAGAGAGAGAGAGTGACGGTTTTTACAATGGTGGGGAGAAATGAATGTGCTTCGAAAAGCGCGAACTGAAAATAAATGAGCGAAAATTAGTTTTGATACTTTAACCCTCCCCCTCCCCCCCTCTTTCACATATATCAACCCCACCGATACACCATTTAAACCATATCGCGATCGACCTAGTTTTATTTTGCAATTTTTTTTTTTTGCCTCACCCCACAAAACTCATTTCACTTTTGGTCTCAATTGATCATGAAACTTTTGAAATTGTCTTTTTTTAATTTTTTTGCTTTTAATTTTTTTTGTTTTTAATTTTTTTTTAATTTTTAAAAATTTTTTTTTACAGTGAAATAATATGTTTGTATTTATTCGGTTTTCGCGTAGTTTGTGACTGTTATTTTTGTCTATTTGCCTCTTTTACAATAATTACTTTCTTTATTTAGATAATGCTTTTCATTTTTATCTGTCATTCTTCTTTTTTTTATTAATTATTAATTTCGATAATTAGTTTTGTAAATTATTTCCAAATTGTTTTTATTTATTTCCTTTTAATTATTTTCTTTATTATTTAATCTCTAATAATTTTCAACTCTGTTAATTTTTATTCATTTTCCTTTATTATTACAATTTCTATAAATAATTTTATTATTATTATTATTATTATTATTATTATTATTATTATTATTATTATTATTATTATTATTATTATTATTATTATTATTATTATTATTATTATTATTATTATTATTATTATTATTATTATTATTATTATTATTATTATTATTATTATTATTATTATAAACTATTTATTTATTATCTTATTTATTCGTAAAGATTTTTATTTTTTATACTTTTCAAATATTTTTAATATTTTATTATTTATTGTTTCTCATTCTTTCTATTATTTGCTATGTATGATGAACTTGGAAATTTTTAACAAATTGAAAAAAAAATTCTAAACCGGAAAAAAAGTTATAAATTAAAAAAGTGTTAATTTCCCTTGATAGTTTGTGAATAATAAAAAGAATATTTTCCTGAAAATAATTTTATTTTTTTAGCTCTTAATCGATGTATTTTACAACTTATATAATTTTTCTTAAATAAAACAAATTTGAAAAAATTCCTATATTTTTTCTCAAATAAAATGAATTTAAAAAAAAATTCTTTAATTTTTACTTAAATAAAAGAAATTTAACAAAAAATTATAGAATTGTTTTTAAATGAAATAAATTAAATCGAGATTTATATAATTTTTCTAAAAATAGAATAAATTTAAAAGGAATATTTACTTAAGAAATTTTTGAAAAATAAATTAAAAATAAATTAACAATATATTAACAATAGATTAACAAAAAATTAACAAGAAATAAACAATAAATTAACAATAAATTTAAAAAAAAAATACTTTTACCTAAAAAAAAAATACAATCGGTTACTTAAGAATTTCGAAAGATAAAAAAAAAGCAGAAAGCTATAATCGAAATTCCGGAACATTTTTCATGTTCAATAATTATTCACATCCTTCAATTTCTTTCTCTTCTCATTTAATTAATAACTTTCTTCCGCTTCAAATTAGAAAGTAAAATACTCTATCAATTTTTTTTCCATTTTATATCAAAAATTAACAATTTTTGTTTAAACAAAAAGAATTTAAATAAACAATTAATATCACTCGACATGAATAAATTTGGAAAATTTTAATATTTTATCCTCTTATATTTTCAATCTTTGCACAAATTTCTCAGAGTATTTAAATTTTTTCATTCATTTTCATTATACCCAGCTTTTTAAGTTCGAGATTCAAAAGAATAATTTTGTCCATGAAAATTTAAAATGTTCGATTAATAATTATTAAAATATCGAAAATTTTCTATCTAGAGAAATAGAAATATTCCTTTTTAAAATATATAAGGTGCGCAGAAAAAAATTACATGCTTTATACACTTTATACTTTACAGGAAATTACAAATCAGTTAAATGAATTTTTAATATGTTGAATAAAAGGGAAAAAGAATGACTAATACAATTAACTTTTATATTCTCTGGCTGAAAATTTATTATCAGTGACAGTTATCTCATAGTCTTTTATTTGATTATAACGTGAATTATTTGTCGAATTATTTTCTGGAATAATATTTGAGAAATGGAGAATAAATAAATTTTTATACTCTGGGAAATTAAAATAAACACTGAAAATAAAATCGTTTTTTTTTGTACCTTTGGGACAAATTTTTCTAAATACTTCAATTATTGGTATTTCAATTTATAACTCTGCTTTTAATTAAGTCTATTTGTTTGGTTCTCTTTGTCTTATTAGTTTGGGTTTTTGTCAATTTTAGTAATTTTTTTTTGTTGTTGTTGCGGCTTTTAGCAAATTTTTTTTTATTAACCGTCTTGTTGTTTTTAGAATTTTTTCTTGATGCTCGTACTTTAGGATTTTTTCTTATTACTTTTTCTTTTAGTTTGGAAATATTTTCTTCCTACTTTTTTGTTGGATTTACATTTTTTTTAAATTTACTATTTTTTTTGTCATTTCGCCTTTTTTATTTATTGCGTTTTTAACATTTTTTTTGCTTACAGTATTTTTTAAGTGTTTTTCGTTTACAGTATTTTTTTTTGGATTAAAATATTTTTTCTCGTTTTTTTTTGCTTACAGTATTTTTTAAGTGTTTTTCGTTTACAGTATTTTTTTTTGCATTAACATATTTTTTCTCGTTTACAGTAATTTTTCGTATTTTTCTGTTTTTACAGTATTTTTTCGATTTTAATCGTTTAAATTATTTTTCAATAGTATACAGTATTTTTTTTCTTCTTTACAATTTTTTTTCTTGTTCTTATTTTTAGTTATTTCTATTTTTCTTTAATTTTCAGACTTTTTTTTACTGTATTTTTAAGGTTTTCGAATTTTAATTGCTAACAGTACTTTCTTTTGGTTTCTTTGTTTTACAGTATTTTTTCTGATTTTTCCCTTCACTGTATTTTTGCGTGTCTTCTTTCTCATTTACAGTATTTTTTTCTATTCTTTTTCGTTTATAGTATTTTTTTTCCTTTTTTTCGTTAACATTATTTTTTGTTGTTTTTCAAGTATATTTTTTAGTACTCTTTTGTTTTCAGTATTTTTTTTTGCATTGTTTTTAGTACTTTTTTTCTTTTTAGATTCTTTTCAGTACTTGTTTCCTTTTCGCATTTTTACAGTATTTTTTCTTTTTCGCATTTTTTTCAGTATTTTTTCTTTTTCGCATTTTTTTCAGTATTTTTTCTTTTTCGCTTTTTTCAGTATTTTTTCTTTTTCGCTTTCTTTCACTATTTTTGTTTCTTGAACTTTTTCAGTATTTTTTCAAGGGCTAAAAAAGAAAAAACGAATATATTGTGAACGAAAGAAATCAAAAGGGAAAAATTACTGTCGTTCGTTCACAATATTCTTTTTTTTTTCTCTTTCACAGTATTTTTTCCCCTATTTTTCAATTCTCCCATTTTTGTAATTTTTATTTCCATTTTCCGAAAGTAAAATAGTTTTTCGTCACTCTTAACAGTCATTCTTACACTTTTCCCTTAATTTTCTTTTCTCTCACTTCCACTTTCGTACTTTGATTATCAACCATAATTTCCCCATTTTTTTCCTCCTCCCTTCTCGTTTCTTAAATTCCCACAATTTTTCCTTTAAACTTTTCTTTTTTTCTCACCAATTCTCTATTTTCTTTTCCTTACCTTCTTTCCATTTTTTTCGCCACTCAAAATTTCCTTCCTCTCGAAAAATCTACCATATTTTTCTTTCTTCCATTTTTTCCTCATTCTTTTTCGAAATTTTCCCACCATACACGAAAAATGCTCAAAGTTTCACAAAAAAATCCCCTTTTTTCTCAATTTGGCAAAAAAAAAACCCATTTTGAAAATACCCCAATTTACCGGGAAAAAAAATTCTCACCCCAAGAAACTAAAAACAAAAATACAAAAAAATTTGACCCCAAAATGCACTCTTAAAATTGTGTGACGCACTCAACTGTCACAGAACGTCTTGATCGGTTATATATTGGAGGTCAACGGAGTATGGCAATGAATGGGTACAAGAGAGGAGGGGATATGAGTGCGAGAGAGAGAGAGAGAGAGAGTTCGAATCAGTCAGAAATCGAAGAGAGAAAAATGCCAAAATAAACACAAGGTTTGGGGTTATTCGCATCGGAAAAAAAGTGCATGGTCAGGGGTGATGAGCAACCGACAGTGAGTGGGGGAAAAACACTTTGTATCGAGAAAAAAATTTCACCCTCTCTCTCTCTCTCTCTCTCCATTACTCCTCTACTAGTAGAGAGAGAGAGAGAGAGAAAAAATCCGGAAGGGGTAACAAAAAATTGAAGGTTGCCGTGAAAAGAATCGAAAGTACAAGGACGAGTCGAAGGTTTGATTCCTACACTTGTTTCCTTCCCCTCACCCTAAGGGGGGTAGGGGGTAGTGGTGAAGAGAAAAAGTGGGGGGGTGGGGGCAGTAAAAACTGATTGTCCGTGTTTTTATCTTAAGACGATGAAGAGACTGAGTGGGGGACAGGGGGTGGGTGGGGTGGGTGGGTGAGAATTAGTAGAGGGGCGATTGTCGGGGAAAAGCTCGTCGGGGGGTGGCTTTTGTCGTGAGGGTGGGGGGTGGGAGATGACTCCTCCGCTTTGTAATGGAGGGGATAAGACTACCCTCGGAGGCAGAGTGCGTTTGCGCCGCCGCCGTGGAGGTGGCATCCCGCGGCTCTAAGGGTTGCTTGGCCCTGGTCCGGGGGTGGCACGGGGGTGGGGGCGTCCCTGACTGCAGGGTTAGGGTGGTCTTTAGGTCTGTCAGTAGCAAAGCGGCGGCCTCATCATACGGAGCTGCTGGGCTGACCAGCTAGGCCGAAGTCACTTAAAGACGCGTACCACACCTTGTAATATAACACCAAAAAAAAAAAACCGCTACACGCTCCCGCCACCTATACACACACATACACACTTTCACATATACACACATATAAATATAGACACATATGCATATAAATACACTCACATATAAGTACATGTGCATGTAAATACAGTACATGTGCATATAAATACATTCACATATAAGTACATGTGCATATAAATACATTCACATATAGTACATGTGAACATGAATACATTCACATAAAAGTACATGTGCATATAAATACAGTACATGTGCATATAAATACATAGCACATATACAAATACAAGCACATAGACACATATAAATACACACATAAACGAAAATTATCACACATATACAGACATAGACACTCTTCCCCCCCCCCTGGACGTTCAAGTTACACGAACACTAGTACACACACTTATCCTAGTGCACCTTCAAGGACCTATACTTAAGCGCGAGTCAAAGGCACACGATTATACGGTGACCGACCGTCGTCGTCGTCGTCGTCGTCGTCGAAAGAAAGACACTCCGCGAGGACCTAAACGAGAAGAGTGCTCCGTGTTATATTATAAATACTGAAACAAAATAATTTTTTGATTATTATCAAAGACTGATAAACTTTTTTCGAATTATTTTCTACTTTTTCCCATCATTATCTGGAATTTTTGATGACTTTTTTATCATCATCAATTCTTCTTCATCAACAACAACAATATCAAGTGTTTGGAATCTTTGTTAGTGTGCGAGTGGAATATTTATGTGAACCACGTGCATTAGAGAAATTTTCGTCAATTATACGGAAATATTGTTGATTTTATTTCTTGATGTAAAGAAAGGAATTATAAACGAAGAGAAGGGATTTTTTATGGAGATTGGAGTTGATTGATAATAATTCTTCCGTGAAAGACTTGTTGTGATAAACGGGTCTTAGTTTTCGGTTTCGGGAATTTTTTTTTCTTTTGTAATCAAGTGCTCAACACGTGTTCTTTCTTGTCGATATTTAATACACTGACAGGGATAAGCTAAGAAAGGTAAATTATTGGCTAGAGGATAATTTCGATTGAATTTGAAATTTTTCGTTTCTCACCGAATAAGTTGAGTTAGGAAAGAAATGGATTATAATTGGAAAAAAATTGACAATTGAGAAAATAGAAAATTGAGAATATTATTTTTGCGCTTTATTTTCGGTTTATTTTGCATCGTCAGTTTTATTTTCTATTTTGACGTGTTTTCTCCATTATTTATTATTTACTGAACTTGATTATTTATTATTAGTGTACTTGATTATTTATTATTACTGTATATTTAATTTATTATTACTGTATATTTAATTTATTATTACTTTATATTTAGTTTATTATTACTGTATATTTACTTTATTATTATTGTATATTTAGTTTATAATTATTGTATATTTAGTTAATAGTTTTTTATTATTTAATTTAGATTTAATTTTGCAAAATTGTACTTTGCTGTTAAATTATAATTGTTATTTAATTTTCGTCATTGTATTCAGTTTCCCAGTGTAAAATTTATTTTATTTAATTGCCAAGTGTATGATTTATTTTACTTAATCAACTAGTGTATAATTTATTTAATTTTTAATTACCTGTGTAATTTTGTTTTATAATTGTATAATTTTTGGTATTTTTTAATAAACAAGTATATTTTGTTTGATTTTTAATAACTTATTAAAAGTTAAAAAATTTATTAAAAAAACTATTTATTCAAATTTAACAAATTTAGTGTATAATTTATTTAAATTTAATAAATTATTGTATACTTTATTTAAATTTAAAAAAAATTTAGTGTATAATTTATTTAAGTTCTAAACAATAAGTGAATAATTTATTTAATTTTATTATCCAGTATATAATTTATTTAAATATGGAAAAAAAGTTTCACCTGAAGCACCTGCAAATTTCACTATATTAGCGAAATTTTTAATCTTTTCATTTACGACTTTCGCTATTCTAGAGAAATTTATCGCTTTGTTAGGAAAAGCTTCTTTTGTGAATTTAATTACTTAGTGTATAATTTATTTTAGTTTTTAAAATATAGGATATAGTTTGCTTTATTTTTTATAATCTAAAATATACTCTACTTAATTTTTTATAAACGAAAATATACTCTACTTTATTTTTTATAAACTAAAATATACTTTACTTTATTTTTAATAAACTAGAGTATACTTTATTTCGTCTTTAAATAAACTAGAGTTACTTTATTTTATTTTTAATAAACTACTGAAAAATTTACTTTAGCTTCAATAAACTAGCGTATAATTTATTTTACTTTCAATAAACTAGTGTATAACTTATTTATTTAGTCTATATAATTTATTTAATTTAATTACCTAGCATATAATTTTTTTTGTTTTTAATAAACTTTGTGTTATAATTTATTTTAAAATCAATTATCAAGTGTGTAAATTTCTTTTTCCTTTAAATACCGAAAGTGTAAAATTTATTTAATTTTCAAAAAACCCAGTGTTTGTTAACAAATTGTTAATAATTATTTCCTTGTATATTACTCGTATATTTTTTTACTCGCTCCTTTTGTATATTTTGCATATAATTTCTGCGAATTACTCAATTTTTCTTCGAATTTTTAATATAAATAAAATAAATAAAGAAATAAAATAAAACGAACTTTTAACTAAAACTGATTCTAATTTTTTATTTTTTACGATTTAGTAATTTTAATTTTAGTTACAATTTATTTTTTGATAAAAATTCGATTTTAATTTCTGTGAAAACATTTTGTTAAAGTAGTGCGGGAAGAAAAGTTTACAACTTCCAGTTAAATTATTCCTTCAGTTATTATTTTTTAAAAAAAAGATTTGAGAAAAAAAATTGTTACTTGTAAAGTTATTTATTGTAAAAGAGAATTTTATTAATTTCTAAATTTCGTTAAGTTTGTGAATTCGAAAGCTCCTTTATAACAAAGACTATAAATGCTTTTTTTGCTTGAACAAAAAGCATCTTTTCTATTTTTTACTTTTAGTAATTTTCTACAATTATTTATGTTTTTTTATTTTTTGTTCATTTTTTTGAACTATTTATGCCTTTTTGTCTTTTTTTATCCATTTTTTGAAATTATTTCTGCATGTTTAAATTATTTTCGCATTTTCAATCATTTATGCTTTTTTCATTATTTAAGCATTTATTATTAATTCCCATTTATTATTTTTGCATTTTAAAAATTATTTATGCATTTTTTAATTTTTTTTTGCTTTTTTATTATTTTAGTATATTTTTTAATACTTTTGCAATTTTTAGTTATTTTTGCCCTTTTTTACTATGTTGGCTTTTTTTACTAATTCAGAATCTTTTAAAGATTAAAATTAAAAAAAAAATTAAAAATTTTAGAATTTTCTTTTATATTCTTATCTTTTTAATTATTTTTAACTTGTTTTGCATTATTTCCGCATTTTTATCTAAAATACGAAATATCCAAAAAATTTTAACAAAAAATCTTATTCTCACTTTAATATTTTTCAAATCTGTCTTCTTTACATTAAACTTATTAGAGTAGCGAAACTTTTTCAAATATTTAGTCATTAAAGTTATTCGCTGAAAGTTTTTTGTTTAGAAAACATTAATAAAACTTTTCAGTAATGAAACTCAAGTACATAAAAGTTTTGTTATTTTTTGTTTTTTTTTGTTTTTTTTTTTGGTTTTAGTAACGAAACTTAATCACGAAACTTTTTAATTTTTAGTTTCAAAACTTGTTGGCTACACAACTTTACGTGGTTTGAAAAACTTATTTTTGAAATTAATTACAAAACTTATTGGTTAATATTATGCAATTGTGAAACTAAATGAAACTCGCGTTACTTATAGGGAGTGTTTTCAATAATTTAGTTAGGACAGTGAATATAGTTTCTTCTCTATTTTTAAGTAAATAACTTTTATAATATTTTTAAGTTGTACTTTAAATATCAAAATTTCGGTGAAATTAGAATTTTGGAAAGAAAAATTAATTCGGACTTATGATTTTCGAAAATAATTCTCTTTGGCATATTTAATCACTTTCACGCATTTTTCACAACTTTTTAATAGTTTTTATTATTTTCTCAATAATTTCAGTATTTTTCAACATTTCTTAAAATTTGTTAACATATTTAAACATTTTTACCTATTTTTATCAATTTTTGCTATTTTTTACTATTTTTTTTTTTAGTATTTTCAGCATTTTTGAGTTTTTTCTAAAATTTTCCAAGTTTCTTTTAGTATTTTCTGGCAGTTTTTAGTATTCTCACGCGAAGAGTTTTTTTAGCAAAGTTAACAAAAAAAAATTCGTCGTTTAAACAATTTCTAAATAATAAACAATTGTAATAATTACAACTTTGTTTAAAAACTTCCGAGAAATTAAATTTAATTCCCATTCCATTGTCTCTCTTTTTTTTTATTTTTACCCCAAAACAATAAATAATTAAATTATTTTTAATTCCCGTCTGCTTTTATATCGCTTCATTTTCAATCTCAATTTTTTAATTGACAATATAAAGTGATAAATTTCAAGAAAAGAATCGCCAACTTATTATTAAAAATAGAATTGAGAAAAAGTGATATAACTTGAAAAGAATTGTGACATCTTCCGTCGGACTCAGCTAAAGAGAAAAAGAGGAGAACAATCCCAGGGGTGTGGGTGGGGGAAAAAAATTACAAATCATCAGTTCATTAATATTCTCCTTCCTGTCGCGACTTGATTTCGTTTGTCTGGTGTTAAAATAATTTTCCAATAACTTGCCGACAATTTAACGGCAAGAACGGTTCATTAATTTTCGAGGATCAATCGTTGTAATTCGTTTTAATAATTTGTCATTTCTATTCATTTCTATTCTTTTTTTTCTCTTTTTTCTTTTTTTTATATTTTTGTTGTCAACCATTCTTTAGTTGGCAATTTTTTTTCTGTTCCTCATTCTCATAACGCGTCAGACCTATTATCTAGATTCTCCTGCCAATTTGCTTTATGCAGACTGACACAAACCGTTTTATCAGATAAAAATTTTTATTGCAATGAGTGACGTTAATTAACTTATAATATCTGAATTAGATATAATCTTATTGAATTTAAATTTTTAGAGGATTTGTCATTTTTTTTTATTAATTCTGTGATTTTAGGTGAATTGTGTTTGAGTGAATTTTTCTTTTTTTGGAAAAAATTGGGTAAGTTTTTGAAAAAGAATTTCATTTTTAATATTCAATTTCGAAAAAGGGTTGGTAATGAAAAATAAAATATTATTGTATCCATATAAAATAGTAAAAAAAAAAAAATAAATAAAATAGTAAAGGAAAATAATAAATAAAATACTAAAAAAAAAATAGTTGTACTTAGGAAAAGTGATAAATTTGACAGTAGTAATAGTCGTTATAGTCAGGCATACACTTAACTATTTTTAAGCCCAACGAAAAAAATTATTTAATATTATATTATTACCTATTAAATTTATTTTATTTAATATTTAATTTTTATTGTAAAATAATTCCGATAGTGTTTAAGTAGAAAAACAAGTTTTTAGTCAGACGGGGAATAATTTTGGTGTTTTTCTCAGTTCATTGTCGATCTAAATTCATTTTTTTTCCAAGCAAAAAAAAAGTGGTGTAAAGTACAAAATCTGTTAAGAACGAGAAATTTAAAAATAGTGTAAATAAATAAATAACGAAATAAATAAATATAAATAAAAATAAATAAATAAAATATAAAAAATAGTTTAAAAAAGTAATAAAATTAAATAAAAGTTTTAAAATAAAATTAGAAGAATCAATTAGACTGATAAAAGTGATTGTCAGTAGTAAAGGTTTTTATACAGTCAGACATAATTTTACTCAAGTGATAATAGTCCTTAAGGGGAAGAATTAATACCAGAAATATTAAAAACGAAAAAAAACTGTGCAGAGCAAAAGTTATAATTAAGGAAGAAATAATCGCGAGAAACACACACTAAATTTCAGTAGAAATGACCAATTTAAGTCAGACATTTTTCCAATAAAGAATTTTCATCTCCTATTACTTATGTGACATT